TGTGTGTGTGTGTGTGCTCACCACAATATCTCCTGTTCCACCCAGATGAGTAGGTTCAAAATTGCAGCAACATTACCTCTATTTTAGACGATGAAACATGCTTGAGTTGAATTAATCCACCAAGGAAACAGTGTTGCCTCCATAATCAGCTAGCAGAAAAAAATAGAAACATTCCCTTTAAGCAAGCAATGCCTACATGAGTAGATCCAAACTCATAGGAACCTGGCCTTTATGCAAGCAATGCATCAAACTTCAGAGGGGCCTACCCAACAATGAGACAGTTAGAAATTGTGTGTGTGTGTGTGTGTGTGTGTGTGTGTGTGTGCTGCACGTGTGAATTTCAGTGCAACAGTGCCAAAGTATCTCACGAACAAAGGATATGTGTAAGGAACCGTGAAGAAAATACAGGCATGCAAACACGGTGCCAAAATCCAAGACTAACAAGAAGGCATTTTTTCGAAAAGGCATGCATTCAATGTTCAAAGTTCAAACATAGGGATGCAAAATGTAGAGGTTGAGCAGGGAATTTATGAAAAAAGAAGCTTCAGTCAGCAAAATAGAGAGGTCAGAAGTTCAAACCCATGCATGCATACATGCATGCACTGCACTTAGCAAGTTAGCATCTGTCCTAAAGACTCCTAATGTGACTAGATGAAGATGCTGTGTAGGGTTTTATTAAGGTTTAGGGACCAGATGAGCACTGCTGGTAGGGTTTACTAGGGTTTAGGGGCTAGATGAACAAACCATGTTAGGGTTTATTAGGGTTTAGGGGACTAGATGAACACACCTTGTAGGGTTTATCAGGGTTTAGGGATTGGTTGCACACAGCTTGTACAGTGTGTTTGTAACTTACCCCCCCCCCCCCCCCCCCCCCCCCCCTCCCCCTCGGCCGCCCCCTCAAAGAAAAAAGGGTTTCTTAATGTTGTTTATAACTTTATTAGAGGTAATGAATTGGATGAACAGACCTTGTAGGGCTTTGCTATTAGAGTTTAGGGATTAGACGAACACACCTTGTAGGGTTTGTTTTTGTTATTTCATTATGGGTAATCTGGTTAAGGGGAGATTCGATGAACACACCTTGTAAGGGTTATAAGGGTTGAGGGATTGTGTTCAAAGGGTTAAGGAATTGGATGAAGTGGATGAACACACCTTGTTGGGGTCATTTAGGCTTAAGGGGTTTAATGAACAGATCTTTTGTGATTTATTAGGGTTCGGGGGGATGAATGTACAGACCTTGTAGGGTTTCTTAGGGTTTAGAGATCAGATGAACACACCTTGTAGGGTTTATTTGTAGCGGGTTAAGGGATTGGATGAGCATATGTTGTAGGGTTTACGTGTAGCTTAATTAGGTCTAACCAACTGGATGAACAGACCTTATAAAGTTTTATTGTTAGGGTTTTTCGAGACTGCATGACCACACCTTGTCAAGTTTACTAAGATTAAATGAATGGAAAAAAAAAAAAAGATTAATTGAAATTATTGAATGGATTGAGTTCCGATTAACAGACCTTGTAGTAGGGTATATTTGGGGATTAGGAATTCGCCAATTTGGTGAAACACACCCTGCAGGATTTACTAGGATTGGATGAACCGAGTCAACCGACCTTACAAGATTTATTATTAGGGTTTAGGGCCTTTACGCCCCTCAGAGACTCCATGACCACATCTTGCAGGGTCCACTTTACAAGAATTAAATCGTCCGATTAACAGACTTTGTAGTTGGGTATATTTGGGTTTGGAGAGGGGATTGAGTGCACACACCTTGTACGTCCCCTGCTGGACAGTTCTTCCCTCCTTCATGATCAGGATAGAGTCTGCCTCCGGCACAAACTGAAGCTGTAGAAGTCCAACAATGTGCATAGTAAGAGCAACAAAACATAAAAAAAAAAAAAAAAAAAAAAGCTGACGGTTCTGGCTCCTTTTCCATTCTGGGGAGCGTCAGTCCGGTTCCTACTTCCCCCAACGAGTCGAAAGATTTTACAACAAATACTCACTCACGCCCCTTCCCTTTATGGTTGGAAGGGCCGAAGTGCAGCAAAACTTTTTTTTTTTTAACAAGGGCGACGGCCTTGAGATATCATCATTGAGCTGACCGGCCCCAGGTAATTCAGAATGATTTTATTCTGGTCATCTGATTGTATCTGGATTTGAACTTGGATCTGTATGTCAACAGTTTGGGGGTGTACCAACTGAGCTAGGCCCATTGGTGTGGTGCAGCAAAACTTTAATCACATGGGACACTCATTTTTTTTTCAAGTTGAAGTTGTTGAACATAGTAACACGTAAGTTTGATTCGTAGGGGAAAAAAAAAAAAAAAAAACTTTGATTCACAGATGAAGTGCTGACTCTGCTGATGAAGAAAGAATAAGAGTCCTGCAGAAGAAGGACCATTTGGTAAAAAGAAAAAGAACGAAAGAAGTTTTCTTTTGAAGTTCTCGAACCATTTGGTAAAAAGAAAAAGAACAAAGAAGCTGTTTTTTCACGGACATCCAACGAAATTGGCTCGTCCAGGAATCGAACCCGCAACCTGCTGCATTTAAAGAAGAACACATATCACTACCTTCTTCTCCCGAATAGAGCGCCTGGTCATTATAGCCGCATTTGGTCTGCCTTGCAGTCTAGATGCAGCAATAATGACCGGCCGTTCTATTCGGGTGAAGACGGTAGGCAAAGTGAGCTGGGATAATATTGTTGTACTCGGCAGGTCCTATTTCAGTGCGCTCCAGCATGGTTAGTAACAACTTTCTACCGTGACCGACTGTACCTGGACTCAACTCCAGCCAAATTGCCCCTGAGCTTAGCTCAGGGATTTTGCGAGCTGACACTGACCAAGCATAGTCCTGGATTGACAAACAACGCTCGCCTCGGGACTGATCGCAGGTATACAGGAGCTGGAATTTAACCATGCAAGATGCGCTTACAAACTTCAAATTGGCGGCAGAACTCTCTGCCGACAAGCACTACGACAGCTCAGAAGAATACACAACCAAACTGGAGTATGAGCATAGACCAAGAAGAGTAAATGATGACCGGACAGTGAACAAGGAATTATGACATTCATTATTTACTAATATTTAGGGTTTACAGAATTCAATCCCGGTAAAACACGGGCAATGAATGATGGCAGGTTTACACAGTGAAGTTCAGCCTTTGGATGTACAGTGGGACGGTGGACCCGATTGCCAGCAGGTGCTGCTCCCCACCAATAGACTGGAGCAAACAGGTGGCCCGCTAGGAGGGGGTGCTCTTATCACCTCTCCTAGCGTGGCAATGTGGTTTTCATTTGGAAAAAAAAAGAAAAAAAAAAATCCTTATTTCAAGTTATTTCAACTTATTTGGCATTTTGCTGCTTGAAGACCACATTTCCTGGGGATGGTAAGATGCGCTTACAAACTTCAAAAATTGAGTGCTTACAAACTTCAAAAATTGGTTAAATTCCCCGCTCATTGCTTGTCGGCAGGGAGTTCTGCCGCCAATTTGAATTCCCCGCTTCATCATCCCAAGTTAAAAACGCACTCAATCCTGAGCGGGCACTTCATCATCCCAAGTTAAAAAAGCACTCAATCCATGGCAGAATTTAACCATGCAAGATGCGCTTACAAACTTCAAAAATTGAGTGCTTTTTTAACTTGGGATGATGAAGTAATACCAAGGACTGAGCTTGTGCAATGTTTGATGACTCCTTTCTATTGGTAGGGACTTGCAGCTGCTGGAAAAAAAAATAGGTACAGAGTCCAGACATCATTGCATTTTTAAATTGTTTGAGAAGAATGAGAAGTAAGGAAGAGATGTGAGAGAGAGTGAAAAGAAAAAAGAAAAGAAAAGAAAAAAAAAGGGAAGAGATGAGATTTGTGAACCTGATTGGTGACGAAGACACGCGTCTTGTTTGCCAATGAACCATTTATGCAATGGTGGAATAAATGTGCCCCCACATGTGCATCCACTGCACTGTAAAGTCACAACAACAGCGATCAGGAGCATCCGATTCAGTTGCTTCTTCGCACTTAGCACCTTTTCCAGTCAGCTTTATATTTCATGCATGCCCTTGAAATACTTACTGAGAGCAGGCTTCAAAAGATTCAAATAAAACAGAGGATGAACATTCAACATTACAAGAATATATTCTTTCTGCGGCAGGAGGGTCCGGCAAACCCATCTGCTCCGTACGCTTAGGCAATCATTCCACAGAACTAAAACCAAGCTCTAGCGGCATGCATTTCTCTCTCTCTCTCTCTCTCTCTCTCTCTCTCTCTCTCTCTCTCTCTCTCTCTCTCTCTCTCTCTCTCTCTCTCTCTNTGTGTGTGTGTGTGTGTGTGTGTGTGTGTGTGTGTGTGACGTTAATCTTTGTACGTAGCGGAAAAGAAGATATGTAGTGCAAGGACGACCTCAGCACCTTTTTCCGGTACTGCCATGTGTAGTTAATTAAGCAGGATCATAGCATGGTCCTCAGGGACATCCATTAAAATTGAAACGATACAAAGAAGATTAGCATGGCCTGTGCGCTTTCAAGTATGACACACTGAAGTTGAGAAATGCCCCAAATTCTTAAAAAAAAAAAAAGAAAAAAAGAAAAAGAAAAAGAAAAAGAAAAAGAAAAAGAAAAAGAAAAAGAAAAAGAAAAAGAAAAAGAAAAGCAGGATCATACAACAACTGTCAACAAGCAGAAAAAGCAGGATCATATCACAAGAAAAAAAAGCAGACACAAACACAGACAAGCAAACAAAGTTAACAAATACACAGACACAAGAAAAAGCTTTCGAAACGATAACAGACACAAATCTCGAAGTTCAAAGTTTGAAGTTCGAAGTCCAAACCCTAAACCAGTCTCTCACCTCAAAGGATCGTCAAGCACATAAATGTCTGCATCTGCATACACGGCTCTCGCTAGCGAAACACGTTGTTTCTGTCCTCCGCTAAGGTTGATTCCCCTCTCCCCAATCTCAGTTAAATCCCCATTTGGAAGAGCCTCCAGATCCTGAAAATCACAAAACACAAATGCTTATTATTGACAACAAGAAGATGCTGGCAGTGTATAGCATGCCGCCCATGGAAACAACCCCTGGCCCCCCTCCCTCCCCTTGCCTGCTTGCATACCCAAAAAAATAAAAAAATAAAAAAAATAAAAAAAATGAAGCGAGGGATGTTTGCAAGTTGCAACCATACTTGCAAGCACACATCGTGCGGGCGGTTCCCTACGTGCGGCGCACGCTGTCGGAGGGTGCAGAGTCCCGGCCCTCCGCTTGTACCGAGTGCCTGCTCATGTGCCTCCACTGCGTACCAGATACCAGTCCACAGGATCATGCGGGGTGCCAAGCTTTGCCGCTGAGCCATCCAGTTGAACCGCGCAGGCTCGGCGTCATGCCATACTGCAATCTGACCCGTAATTGAAGTGACTGTCGGGTCCGCCAAAGGGGCGCGGCAGTAAAAGGCTAGCGCGGACAACTTAGCAAACGCACCGGGCCCTGATGGCCGTGTTCTGGGCTACGTGCAGAGGGAAAGAGAACGGAAGTAAAAAGAAAAGAGAGAAAATGGGAAAGGAGAAAGGTCTACACTTCACGCTTGCAACGGAAATAGGACCGCTACCCCCAAGGGTTAGATCAAACGGTTCCGTAGCTGAGAGGGTGCTGAGGTTTTCTTTCTTCCTTTCTTTTCTTTTTTTTCTTTTCTTTTCTAGTTTATTTTAATTTTGGCCAGCTTGAATTCTAGTTCCCCGCGTGGTCACGTCGCGAGGGGGGGAAACGAATAGTCTGGGTTTGAGTCGTGAGCCGAAAATGGGCGATGTGTGCTGCCCAACTTTTTGTTTTAGTTCCATGAGTCCGACTGGTGAGGCATTGAGGGCCCCAAAATAGGAGCACCCGCGGCCGAATTGGTAGGAGGCTTATGACCTTCCGTGGAAGGTCATAAGCCCCCTCCTTGACATCGGAGACGGGTACCCATTAGTGGTAGCCCGTAAGCGCCCTATGAAGGAAGTGTAGCGTCGGGCGATATCCCGTTATGGGACCGGACTGTCTGTTTTTTCAAACAAAGTTGAAAATACAGATAGGTGCAGACTGAGTCGTCGAGTTTGCGCAGTGACCGTTAGTGTCCTACTCTGTTCCGTTTTTTATTTATTTTATTAACTTATGAGCTACAAATTATTAGAATACCGAATTTTGAAAGTCATTAAAGTCTCTCGTTTAGAACGCAGGGATCACGGCACGTAACGATCCTATAAAAGCTGAAGGGGGTTAGTTGTTGGCTACTGACTAATAGAAACGCGTAGGCAGCCCCGCTCTGCTAACGCTGGTAGCCTGAGGGAGGAAGGCAGAACGGTGTGGTGCCCCGTTGGTGAATTGTTTGTGTGCGCGTGAGCCAGGTATCTGGCTATTCTGAACGCGGCTATGGCGTACCGAAATGGCCTGCGCGGCTGTAGGCCAAGGTACATGAGGCACTCCTGGATGTGGGAGCGCGAGGATGAGAAGGGTACTTTGGTTGAGACCATACTATCCTACGGAAAGCCTACGGGAGAAGTAAGGCTGAAGATTAACGTCTGTGGTCACCGGGAGCAGGAAATGAGGAGAGACGAGGGACTACAGGCGGCTATCACCGAGGCGCGCAACAGGGCTGAGCGGAGGTGTAGGCAAGACGAAGTGACTGCGGGAATGCGAGTGACAGTCACTTACCATGAGGATGATTCTTCAACTGGGACTACGACCAGGGAGGTGCAGCGCCTCGGCCAGGGCTCCGAAAGGGAATCTGAAATGAGTGACATTGAGGCGACTCAGTCTTGGCACGGGAGGGACCAGTGGCACAGGGACCACCCGCCGGCCGGCCCTGTGGAGAGCGGTCCTGAGGGCAACTCGCAACGACGAGACTAAGTCCTCGGGGCAGTTGGGGAAAAGAGAAAGAGACGTAATTTTGAGAGCGAGAGGGGAGAGGAGCACGACTCCCTGGGTTGAAGTCAGCAGTTTGTATGCGGGCTTCACAAGTGTTGGTCTAGTGAAGAGAGCCGTGAAGAAAAAGAAAGTGGTGTGCATTGGGAGTCGCGAAGCATGCGACGCATGACCCGTGCATGCTAAGGTGACAGATTGACTCGGTCCACGCCAGCTGCTCTCCTACTCGATTTGCACTCGCTGTTTTGATGGTCTTCATCTCTAATCTTGGTGGTTAGTATGAGGTCAGCGTGACAATGCTCTAGCCATAGCGTGGAGATGAAAGGGGGAGGAGCTTGAACAAATGACCTGTGATTCGGGAACACACTCTTCTGCGATAGTTGGGGTAGACACACGCCGCGGGGTGGTGGCCTCTACTATTGTCATCTCGAATCTGCGGGAGGAAGAAAAGGGGAGTGCACGCGTGCACTGGCCAGGCAGGAGGTGGCCAGAGAGGGAAGAGGCAAGAGCGCCAAAGGGTGACGCGCAAAGGTCAATAGGGATCGTAGCTACGGGCAGGGCGCCTCATGTCTGATCGGTGCGACATCGCGCGGTTACTGGATGTAGTTGATGGCTGATCTCAATCCCCCCCTTCTCTGGACTTAGTCGCTAGGTAGCGGGCTATGTATAGAACGTGGCCTGCTGTAGCCAAGAGGGATGAGCAGGGTGTGAGCCCGATCATCGTTGTTGCCGTCACCCTCCTCTTCAAGCATGACGTTGTGTGGCACCGTGTGCAGCAGTGAGTAGTGCTGATTTCTGCAGGTTGCAAGTGGTGAAAGTAGTGGAAGACTGCCATACGTATGCGGGGAAGGATGAATTAGGGGGAGAGGGAAGGCGCTGGGAGATCCTGTGAGAGAGAGAGGGCCTTCGTGAAGGAGCGGAGTAGTCTCCGTGAGGGTGATGCCGCTGACGTCACCTTTCTTGCTCAAGTCACTGCATAACTAACAGGGGTCAGTCCCCTGGGCCGGGCTGAGAAACACGCACTCTCTTCAAAATTTGACGATTGGAGATCTCCCCACTCGACCTCTCATCCGAGCTCGTTGGCTTGGTCTATGTCACCGATGCCGCGTGCCCTTATGCCCAAGACTCGGCAGTCTGAAGGCAAACTCGAGGAGTTTTGTCAACGGGTGTGTTGAGCAGGAAATGACCTCGGTTATTGTTATCTTCCATACCTGAGCCGTTATGTTTGACCCCACCCGTTTCACTTGGTCATTCTCTGGACTCTGCTCATGTTCAAGATTTCTTTCAACGAGCTTCTGTTAATTTCAATCTTCTTGTTGTCAATGGGTTTGCATGTCGCTGCTTTACTCGTTTCGAAGCACCTAGCCTAAGAGGAGGTTACTCATGGTGAAGGCAGACAGTCATAGCATAGAGATAAAAGGGGGGTGAGAGGAAGATGCATAAAAGTCGAACACGAAGAAGACGACGGGGTCGCCCTCATTATTGGTTGACGTCACTAGCTGACCACGACAGTCTGTAGCTTACTCGAGTCTTTGACTCTGCATGATTGGGGGGTTGCTGATGAGACAGGCCTTGAAAGGACAGTAAGTACTGATTCTCGATGGGAGGCAGGTCTAAGAAGCACGCGGTCTCTTGGGGAGTCGACATTGGCGATCCTCTTATTCGACCAGCCTCCTTTGTGTCCGCTGACTTGGTCTGTGTCATGGACGTCGCGCGTTCATGTGCGCTTGGGATAACTACTAAGGACTCGGTAGTTTGAAAGTGACTCGAGAACTGTCATCAGTGGGCGCATTGAGCAGGAAATAATCTTGATTGATACTATCTCATTTGCTCGAGTCGTTATGTCATGAACAGGGGCTGCGAATTGGACCCGCACTGAGAGAATAGCAAACGCCCACCCTCGTCAGGGAGCAGGTCTGAGACTCTGTACGTGAACTTCGGTCCTGAACATGTATTGTATATCGATCTTTCAGTTACATGGTGCGGGTTAAGAGTTGCTTGGGGCTATCGAGCAGGATCAACCCGTGATCTTGCGCACGCTCCAGAGTACAGTTAGCTAAAATGTGATATTAAATGAGCTGCGGCGGGAAGAGGTGACAACTGCCCAACTCGATAAGTAATCGAGATCTGACGTGAGAACGGAACGTGCAAGGCAGACTATGGGTGTTAGTTGAGATCTCATGTGCTCTGAACCACTCTTGATGAGATGACATTGTGACTGGGAACAGGATGGAAAGTTGAAAGAGTAAAGACAAGTAACAGCTAAGCATATTCAGAGAGCTGAGCGGTTCTAAATGCTGTAGGAAGTTGATGGGCTATGAACTAAGGCGGTTGCTAATTGGCCGTCATGTCTATTAGTGACGAAAAGATCTGGATAAGTTGCCTTGTCATTTTCCTTTATGGGTTTAGTAAAAGAAAAATGACATGCCAGAAGTATGAAGGCATGATTGCAAGTCTCTGATGGGTTGAGTCTCTATGAGTTGTCACTCTATCTGGGTGCTTGATTGCTGCTTCCTCGCTTTGCACTCTGTCGCATGTTTCCTCGTCCTTGGTCGTGTAGCGGGCCAAATTGGGTGCTCATTTACTGTGTTTCCTTTTTTTTTTTTTGGACCAGGGGAAAACTCGGCAACTTTTCCTCGATTACTAGAGAGAGTTGAGTGAGTTTCTCCCTGTTGAAGTAAAACGGCCATGCTTCGCTGCAAAAGCTCCCTCCCTTGATTGACGAATGGGAAAAAGGGTGAATTTAAGGGAGATTGCTTACCTTCTATTTAAGTATATACTCGACGAAGACTGACAAAATCTCTGTCTGTGTGCGTTCTTAACTAGAGGGGCAGATAAGAGATGTGATTTTGACTAACCCTGCACGATTATACAAGTGAGCTTGTTTTAGAAGTCAGCGTCAATTATAGCCTGACAGTCAAAGATCTGACAGGACTGGGCCCTTTCCCCTATGGAAGGCAGCTCCTGGTATCAGACTGATTACTTCAACTGTGAAAAGCGGGACATTGTATATGAGAGCCTATGCATGCCTAAGCACACAATTCTTAATCCCAGGTTATTGATGGCACGCACAATTTGCTTCTCCTAAGGACTATCTGAGGGGCAAGAGTCTGTTCTCACGAATCTGTGACGTGGACAAACCAGTCTCCCCCGATCTTTAACTTTAGGCAGACCCACCAGCTCCAAAAAGAAGTGAAAGAACTACCGCTAACTGCCTGTGTGCTTAGCCTAGAGATACTAGTGACCTCGTGAACAGCACTAATCAGATGGTTGTCCAGACACGCTTGCAATCAGGCAAGTTCTGCTGGCTATCATACTCGGTACACCGCGTAAGGACACCCGGCCTCCCGCATTTGTTATTTAAAGTAGGGAAGCCTTTGCTGCACAGTGCGGCTATAGCTGGGGTCGCCACTTGCTGTAGTAGCAGACTATTACTAACTGCCTCAAACTCTAGCCAATCGTAGTGTATTTGTTTGTGACTAAAGATTGGTAGCCTATCCCTGGTGGAAAACTGAGCGATCGTTGGACACCATAGTCAAACTCCTTCAGTATGTTTCTCAAGCTCTCTACTTGGAGTTGAGGTTGAGAACCTTTGCAAAAACAGGGGAAGCATGGGAGGTGAGAATATCTTATTGGTGTCCTACGCACTTTACCAGGATAAGGTGAAAGCTTGGGAAGAGGAAGCACCCGAAGGTTTTCAGTGCCACGTAAGGTTAATGAGGGAACATGCACCGACAGTGGCGAAGACTCAGAAAAATATTGAATACATCATATACTCCTATGGGCCTAACGAAAAACTGTACAGTATCTACTCGTCCTTAGAGACGATTGAACAGGCTAGGACGGAGTCTGAGAGAGTGTGAGAGTGCTCAGATCCCTCTCCTCAAGGATTCCGTCCGTGTACCCGATCAGTAAGCAACGCTCAGACCTCTGAATCCCAGTACTTAGTGTCGTGTTACCAAATGAGCAGTACTAAGTGTCTTGTTACCAAGTGAACAGTACTCAGTGTCATGCTATCAAGTAAACGGTACTGTGTTGTGCTATCAAGTAAACAGCCTTCAGTACTTTGCTGAGTAATCAGTATTCAGTGATCTGTCAATAAAATAACATCAAGCCATCCGACAAGTTATTATAAGACATCAGTCAAGGTCAATCACCTTTCAGTCGCTTCTTATTGGTATTTGAGTTCAGTGTAAATCAAACAGTACTCTTAACAGAAGACACTGAGATCAGTTTCCATGCTCACCTTCGGCCCATGAGTGCAGTTCAGCCATCCCCTGTCAGTGAGTCGGTCCTGACCAACCTTAACAAGATGGCCCTCAAAGACGCAGTTCAGTATTGGTACATCAGTGCAGCTGGTTTCAGACAGAGAGACCTATCCATTTTTGTCGTTCTCACCAGTTTTGCAGCATGCACCATCCTTGACTTGAGACCCTACGTGAAGAAAGGCAAAGAGACTCATGAACATCTCGACTCACTCTGGATCTCGACAGTCACTTATCTTGAAGGGAAAGAGAGGGAACTAGATGAGAGTGGGGTGAAGTTGATTCGCAGCTTCGGACCAAAGCTCTACACAAACTATCCCAAGCCTCCAGTTCCCTTTACTCTCACGGACGGCACCTGCTGGAGTGACCTGGTAGATCTGGCCAAGAGGTACATTTCACCTGCGGCGATCGACTATGAGGCAGTGACAGAACCATAAGAGTTCCGACATCTCAGACGAGGGATTTTCTCTCAGCTATATCTTTCTACTCTATGGGAGGAGTTTTGTGCTATGGTTGACTTTCGTATCATGGGACTCGGATGGAAATGCTCGGAGCTTGCGGTTTTCAGGTGGCTCTACATCTAGAGGCCACAACCTCAGAGGGTACGGAGACTTGGCTCGAAGCACAAGAAACGCACAACAAAATGAGAGATTGAGTGTGTGATTCAGGGGGATGAGTGCGGACTCTTGACTAGTGTTGGTCATGCTCTCTTCATATGTACTCTCTGAGATTATTACGAGTTCTCATTCTTCCCTCATTTATCTTGTCATTGCTCGAGTCAGTCAGTCTTGCATCGTCAACTCTACCTTTGTTTGATGATTATGCTTTCTGATGATCCTGTCACAGTTCTCAAAACTAAAAAATTGGCAAAATTGATGCATGTACAACATACCAGAATTTTATGAGCATTATTTGCATGATTCTTTGTTGTTCCGAATCAAAATGAAAGATTCCTAAGACCGGGGACCGACGAAGACCGCAATTGAAGGGTCTCGCTCGAAGTCGGACGCACACAACAAGAAGCGGCTTGCTTTATTTAATTTATTTTATTTATTGCAAATATCATCCAAATCCTGCATGACAGTCTGTTGGCTTTCTGGTCGCCTGAAGAGGTCCAACTAGAAAAAGTGCGACAACACGCCCAACCGATCTCGTGCGGCGCACGACGTGTGCAGGGAACAACCGGTCACCCCCCTAAAAAAAAAAAAGGTCGGGGTCAAAACAATGCGTTTGAGGCCCCCCGCCAAAATTATAAGTGAGATGAAAAAAAAAATTACAGGAGTACTGCCTCACCTTGCTCCTCCTCCCCTTCCGCATCCTCCTGTTCATCCTCCTCCTGCCCTTCCTCCTCCTCCTCTTCCCTTCTCCTTTTCGTCTCCTCCTCCTCATCCTCCTGTTCATCCTCCTCCCGCCCTTCCTCATCCTCCTTGTCTCCTCCTCGTACTTCCTCATCTGCCATGCTTCCTCGTCTCCTTCCCTTCATCGTGTCCTCCCCTTCCTCGCCGTCCATGTCTCCTCCTCCTCCCACTCATCCTCCTCCTCCTGCCCTTCCTCTTTTCCCTTCGTTCATCTCTTCTCCTCCTCCATCTCGACTCCTCCTCCTCGTCGTCCTCCTCTTCCACATCCTCCTCCTCCTCTCCATATCCCCCTCTCCTCGCCATATCCCCATCTTCCTGTCATACGACACCCCGTTCCCCCTCCTAAAAAAAGATAAAATAATAAAAATAAAAATAAAAAAACCTGCACGATTCCGCACAGGCAGCCCCCCCACGGAACTCCACATGGAACTCCGCACGAATGTGCGGCTCGTGTGGTTGCAAGTATGGTTGCAACTGATCCAGCGGCCTAGCTCAGTTGGTAAAGGCATGCAAGTGGCATTTAGGAGGTCTTGGGTTCAATCCCCATTAGCCTCATGTACCTTCCTGGGCAAGCTTGGCGCCCACCACCTAGAGATATGCCGCCGTTGGTCTCCCCGAGTGGCAATGAGCAGAGACTGCTGACAATCATAGGGGGAGGGGACCAGAGGGGAGGCACAATGACTAGCCTATTGAAAGAAGTCTGGTCCTGATCTACCGGATGACCCCTGGCCGGTATCGCCCACCTGCAGTAGCAGGTATCGCACCTGCTGGTGGGTGCAGCTCCCTCATGTTCCCTTGTTGGAGGCTTGAGCACGAATATGGCTGCTACGGGATTCCCAGTAATACTATATACTGACAATAAAAAAGGCCTGAAAGGCTGTCCTGTCCAGATTCGACAGGTAATTGAATTGGTTGGACTTAAAGAATTAGCCTTTAAAAAAATAAAAAAATAAAAAGATTGCAAAACTTGCAACTGCATTGAAAAAGCTAACTGCAGTTGGAGAGGGAAGAATTCCCCCAGGGACCAGCTCCATATTACTAAGCTACTACACCTGGACATAAGGTGCGTTCAGCCTCCTGATAAGTCTGTGAAACTCTGACAAAACAGTCTGCCACTTCTCTTTGTCCTGTTCTCCCTCTCTGCCTACAGTTCACCAGGCAGTTCTCTATGACAATATATATATTATATATTATATCTGTATATATTGTCATAAAGAACTGCCCGGTGAGACGTAGGCAGAGAGGGAGAAGTTTCACAGACTCAGTATGAGTCGGTGAAAATTTTCCCTCTCTGCCTACGGCTCACCGGTTAATACATATATATATATACGGGGTCGAACCGTGCTGACGGCAGGTGGGCGAGGGGGCAAAGCGGCGCCGGAACGCTGGCGGACGTGGCCCACGGGCTATGGTTACAATGTACCCTGTACGTTGTGTTCGTATACAACATACGTACGTCTTTTTCGGGTTAAGACATTCCTTTGCGCATCAGAATACCGTGCTCGGCACCTGAAAAGGACAGAATTGGACGCCCCGCTTTCGCAATTCTCTGCGCTGCGCCACATTAGCGTCGCCTCGGGCCTGACGCCAAACCCGAAAGAATAGAAAAGCCCATGGCCCTGGGACCAGTGGGGAAAGTTTCTTGCAGGACAACATCATGCGAGACCCACTGTTTTTTTTTTTAAGAGTTAGGGATTTATTATTATCATGTTTGTTACCTGTTCGAGAGCGCATGCTGAAAGGACCGCATCGTATGTGATTTCATCGAACTCTTTTCCAAACAGTATGTTGTCTCTTACAGTTGCATTCATGATCCATGCCTGCAAGAAATCCACAAATTGACATGAAACACAAGTACAAAGTTACAAACCCACTCATTAAAAATAAAAAAGGAAAAGGAGAAAGGCCGAGAAACAATCCTGGGAGCACCTCCCAAATTGCGCCTGCAACAAATCCACTCAGAAGTTCTCTAAACCCACTCAGGTTGCATGACGTGCGACTGAGACTTCCGAAAAAGATCTTCTCTCTGAGATGTAAAGCCTATAACATCTCTGATATTTGATGTGTACCATTCATATGATGAAGGGGGGGGTGAACGAGGGCAACAGCTCTCAAACCTCATGCCAAGTTCACCCTCAGGAGTCAGGATGCCCAAAAACAAAAAGGAAAAAAAAAAAAAGAACTCTGCAAGCCTTCAGACGAGGAGGAGAGGGTGTTAGGAACTCACAAGGATTTTGATAGAAAGGCCTCCAAATTGGCAAGTCCCACCATTATTACAACCCCCTTTCCTTACCATATCAGCATCTGATGGACCCCATGTTTATATAGATACATCATACAAATCTTTATTTATTTATTTATTTATTTATTTATTTATTTATTTATTTTTTTTTTTTTAAACAGGTCCTTCTGGTCCTGGCTCCATATCCATTCTGGGGAGTGTCAGTCCGGTTCCTATTCCCCCGGCAAGTCAAAATTGAATACATCATAGGACACGCTCACACTTCCTTCCGTATGGCCGAAGGAACCCTGACCAACATTGATTACTCCTGACAGGAGGATTGACTGTCAGCTTGCCTTTCTCTGGGATCCCTCTCTGATTCCTCTGTGAGAGTCTGTCGGCTGAAGCTTTGAAAACAAGGATAACCGAGAAACGACAAAAAGGTTGCTCTTGAGTGGCTCTAAGGGTTTTTGAACATCCTTATGTGGCCTGTGGCTCCTGTAGGCCGCTCTTTGAGTACAGTCTTGCACTTCTCCAGCTCGCCTCCGAGTTATGCCAATCTTTCCACCGTATGTTGGAGTCTGTTATCTCTGTGACCTTCCCTCCCACCAGCCAAACTTTGACAAACTTGGAGAGGATACTCTGTTGCCGGTCTTCATCATCAGGCAATGAGTGCCTTGTTTTGTGCCATCTGCATAGGATCTCTGCCTGAATCAGGGTCCTTGTCTCCACCCACACCTTTACTCTTGGCAATGATAGTCCTTCGATAGTCCTGCCACATCTTTCCTTCCAAATCGACCAGAGTGTTACCTTCCTGATCATGCCAAACCATGTCCTTTCCATATTATTGAAATCAGCCGGAATGTTAGTCCAGACTCCATAGTAGAAGTTGGATAGGATGTTCAGGTAAGGGTTTGGAGAAAAGGGATTCCCAGAGGTCAGAAGCCCTGGCCCAGTACTCTGTCGCTTCCTTACAACGAATTAGGCAGTGAAGAATGTCTTCCGGTTCGTTATCAGAACAGACTGTACATAGTTTAGAACTGTTCGGGTTGTTCCTCCATCTTCGGATATGGAGCCATTGATTGACCGGCAGCGCTACGTAAGTGATAAGCCATTGCAGACTCCTAATTTTGACTGGCCTGATTCTTTTGAAAGTTTTCCATGGAATTTGTGAAATCTGCTCTGCTTCTTGTCCAAATAATTTCGATCAACAGCTTCTGATTCTGGGTTCCGGGTCTTTAGTCTTGAGGAATAACCTGTAGCCCATTTTCACTGAGTAGTCCTGGATGTCTGTCTTGATATTTTGTTTCTACCTGATGTCCAGGCCCATTCTGCAGGGTCGAATTCCAGATCCTGGATCGCAGTGTCCACACTGACGATTGTTTTTTACCAGGAGCCCACAACTCTCACTTTCCTGAGAAGGAGGATGTCAAGGCTTGTTCTTTCCACGTCTTTGTCCAAGATAGATGCGGGGCCTTGAGCTGATAGTAATATTGGGTAGGACGTGAACACAGCAGCCGTGCTTGATCTCTGTTCTTTGTGAGAGAAGTGATAGGCTCTTGAAGGGGGCTGTTCCTGTATCCGGATTCCCCATTCGCCTGTTTTCCATGTCGGTGTTCCTTTTAGCAGTTCTTTCCATCCTTCCGGATGCAGTTGATTACCGTCTGAAGGTTCATATCTCGCCGGTGACAGCCCTTGAGGCGAGAGACAAGTTCCTGGTCATTTACCCAGTCTTTTTTTTCTTCATCCCATAAGTGGCAGACTTTCCACACTCCGTGTTTTATCCATGATAGCCAACGCGTGTTTCCTGGTTTGAGGGAAAGTGAATGGTCACTTTCATCTCTCACCAATGGATTGCCGAATAAGGGTTGGCTCAGTACCTCTTCTCTGGATTTGGGTTTGCCGATTTTTCTCGGCATGATTTTCCGCTTGATCCTTAGCAGGGCTGTCCAATATGGTGTGGGGGGTCTAGCTTCTGGAGGGTCGACTCCTCGTCGTTGGTTTCTGCATCCTGTTTCCGGAGTCCATTCCTTGTTCATCACCCAGAATAGGCCAGACATATTTGGAGGTGTCGGTACCGGAGCTAAGCCTCTTATGCTGTCCAGTGCTAGTTTGTTCCATGCTGTGCCTGGTTTGGTGAGAAGTTTGATGATCCACTTGACTTGGAGGGCTTTGGTTTCCTGCTTGGGATCTATGATGCCCAGACCCCCCTTTGCTTGGTTTCCTCGTGATATAGTGCCATGCTTTTTTTTTTTTTTTTTTTTTGTTTTTATAACAGAAACGTGTGGTTCTGGCTCCTTTTCCATTCCGGGGAGCATCAGTCCGGTTCCTATTCCACCGGCAAGCCAAAAGAATTACACAAAGGACTCACACACGCTCTTCCCCCTTAAGGTAGGAAAGCCCAAGGGACGGCATTGATTACTTCTTGTTTGAAGGATTTACCACCCCTCACCCCTGCCTAAGCTAGCCTGAATACTCTTATTTTGAACCTAAGACATGGAAACGAAACCAGTACTGTGGACCCTGCAGACTTGCTTACTTGTTCCTCTCAGCTCTTCGACTGTCACTTTAAATACGAGAACTGTAGATGTGGTCCTCCTTTTTAGGACATGATAAACCCTAAACCCTTTCCGGTCTAGTTGGAATTGCCTATGGGTAAGCTTAAATTCTATCCTCTCTGTGTTGTCTTTCCTTATTATAAACTCTACCTGGTGCTAAAACTTAAGACCTAGCTGTTTTAGCTGTCCTGCTTACCCTTACTTGAAAACCTGTCTTATGGTCTATATCTCGTACCCTAAGTTGTTCCTGTATTAGCTGGATAGAAAGGACTTTTTTGGGAGCTGTTTATGTGGTGGGGCCAGTACTGTTTAAAAGGCTTGAAGAAGGACTGATGGGTGTTTGTAGGTCTAGGATGTGAGGTTGGATGGCTGATGAGGTCGGGTGTGTGGATTGGTGGCTGGGGTGGGTTCGGCTCAGGGTGATTTGTGTGGGGTGTGATGGGGCTAGTAGCGTGTAAGAGGGGAGAGAAGGGTCCAGGGAGGTTTAAGGGGTGTTAGGGCTGTGAGGTTCCTTATATTGGGGATCGGGTCTGTGTGGTTTTAATGTTTAGCATGCAGCCTGTTAGTAAAAGCCTGTAAAGTGTCGCCGTAGGAGGCTGTTTGGTCTAGATAGGGGCGAGGGAAAGTCGATTGTGCTTGTTGTGCGCCTTTGGTATGGAAACCTGTGGTGTTTTAGCAGGAATTGATCTGGGAGCTCAAGGGATCCGGTGGGGTAAACAATGGTCCTGAGTTTGAATTAGTGGTATGTGTTGTATCATTCCACATTGTAAAGATTAGGCCCTGGCCTTTGACGGTTGCTATCTTGCCCTTGGCAAGGTAATTATCCTCAAATTTGGTTTGGATTTCTTTGGCTTTAGGTGCATTTGCTTTCATTTTCGTCTTGGCTTTGCGCCATAACACCTAGTATTCTGCTTCCACCCGTTGTCTGAGGATACTCCATGCTTCCTGCACCTGCATTGGTTGTTTTCTATCGTTTCCTGGCATCTTTTTCTCCATATGGACCATAGTGCTGACTTGCGCAGGATTTGGAAAAGATTGGTTTGTAACGGGGACCAGTCGTCTGGCGATGTGAAACCTAGTAGAATAAGGGTAGGGCTCGTACTGAAGTTTGTGTTGGTTGTTGAGGGCCATATCTGAGCTATCTTAAACCCTATGGGTTTGATTTGGGGGCATTGGAGGAAATAGTGGAACAGGTTCTCTATTTGGCCCTCTGAACAATTGGCGCATATCTCGTTTAAGGGGTTTCTATCCTCTTTTTTTCTTCTGAAGTTCAGCCATGGATTGAGCGGGATTGCTAGGTATAGGATTAACCATTGTAGACTCTTGAACTTGGAGGGGTGTAAGGTTGCTATTTGATTCCCCGGGATTTCTTTTAACAACTCAGGATCTACTTCGAGGTGTTTCGTCCAGCGGTCTGCTAAGACTGTGTCCGGTGCTGTTGATCTACTTCTAAGTTTATATCCTAGGCTGGTGGTATAGTTCATCAGGTTGATTCTGCGATCTAATACTTGTGAACTTTTGCTTTAGGTTCCAAGCCCATTCTGCTGGGTCAAATTCTAAATCCTCTATTGTGGTTTGTGGTTGGCATATAATAAGTTCCTCATTTTCTATTACTCTGACCTTTCTTAGTTTGCTTTCATTGACTGTAATTTGTGCTAACAGGTTTTTGTTGACTTTGCAGTAATCTGCTCCTGGCTCTTCAAGGCTATGCATGGAGAAAGTAAGCTAGTTTTTTTCTGCCATCTTCCTCTCTTATAAAGGCTAGAGCATGCTCTTGGGAACTCGTGTGTGTCATTACTGGCCAATCTCCTGTTGAGCATTGTTTGTCCTTTTTGAGGGTTGTCGTCCACTCCGACAGGATGGAGCTTGTCATTTGTTGGAGGTTTTGGGTTAGATCGTGGCAGCCTTTGAGTTTTTCTCTGAGTTGTCTGGCTACCTCCAGTCTTTTTCTGACTCACCAAATATGCTTGATTTGCCAGATGCCTCTCTCCAACCACGACCACTGGAAGGTAGCCAGACAACTCTGCTGTGAGGGTGAAGG